TGTGTGCACAGTAGTTGTCTATATATGCACAGAAGTTATCTCTATGTACACAATAGTTGTTATCTTTGCACAGCAGTTGTCTATCTTTGCACAGTAGGTGTCTATCTTTGCACAGTAGTTGTCTATACTTGTAGAGAAGTCGTCTCCATTTACACAATAGTTGTTATCTTTGCATAGTATTTGTTTATATTTGCACAGCAGTTGTTATTTTTGCACAGTAGTTGTCTCTATTGCAGAGTAGTTGTCTCTATTTAAACACTAGTTGTTATCTTTGCACAGTAGTTGGCTATGTGTGCACAGTAGTTGTCTATATTTGGACAGAAATTGTGTATACTTGTACAGAAGATGTCTCTTTTTACACAATAGTTGTTATCTTTACACAGTAGTTGTCTGTATTTGCACAGCAGTCGTCTCTGTTTGCACAGTAGGTTTCTATACTTGTATAGAAGTTGTCTCTATTGACACAATAGTTGTTATCTTTGCACAGTAGCTGTCTGTATTTGCACAGCAGTTGTCTATCTTTGCACAGTAGGTGTCTATACTTGTACAGAAGTTGTCTCTATTTACACAATAGTTGTTATCTTTGCACAGTAGTTGTCCATATCTGCACAGTTGTTGTCTTTCTTTGCACAGTAGTTGTCTATACTTGTACAGAAGTTGTCTCTATTTACACAATAGTTGTTATCCTTGCACAGTAGTTGTCCATATCTGCACAGTTGTTGTCTATACTTGTACAGAAGTTGTCTCTATTTACACAATAGTTGTTATCTTTGCACAGTAGTTGTCTATATTTGCACTGCAATTGCCTTTCTTTGAACAGTAGTTGTCTATATTTGTACAGAAGTTGTCTCTATTTACACAATAGTTGTTATCTTTGCACAGTAGTTGTCTATATTTGCACAGTAGGTTTCTATCCTTGTACAGAAGTTGTCTATACTTGTAGAGAAGTTGTCTCTTTTTACACAATAGTTGTTATCTTTGCACAGTATTTGATTTTTGCACAGTAGGTTTCTATACTTGTATAGAAGTTGTCTCTATTTAGACAATAGTTGTTATCTTTGCACAGTAGCTGTCTGTATTTGCACAGCAGTTGTCTATCTTTGCACAGTAGGTGTATATACTTGTACAGAAGTTGTCTCTATTTACACAATAGTTGTTATCTTTGCACAGTAGTTGGCTATGTGTGCACAGTAGTTGTCTTTCTTTGTACAGAAGTTGTCTATACATGTACAGAAGTTGTATCTGTTTACACAACAGTTGTTATCTTTGCACAGTAGTTGTTATCATTGCACAGCAGTTGTCTATATTTGCACAGCAGGTGTCTATACTTGTACAGAAGTTGTCTCTATTTACACAATAGTTGTTCTTTGCAGAGTAGTTGGCTATTTGTGCACAGTAGTTGTCAATACTTGTACAGAAGTTTTCTCTATTTACACAATAGTTGTTATCTTTGCACACTAGTTGTCTATATTTGCACAGCAATTGTCTTTCTTTGCACAGTAGTTGTCTATACTTGTACAGAAGTTGTCTCTATTTACACAATAGTTCTTATCTTTGCACAGCAGTTGTTTTCTGTATTTGAACAGTTTTTGTGTGTTTGCACAACTCACTTCAGGGTTGGATATACTGCGACACAGACATTTTCTGGATTGTTTTCACTTTTTAAGGTAGTGACAACATTAGTTCGAATCAAGCTATTTAGTGTCCAACTGAGCAGCGGCTACAGATCCCCAAGTACGACATACCCCAGGTAGGTCATCCATGTTACTGTAAGTGTTAAACACGTGATTGGGATAAACCTCTAGACTATACACGTACGTGTCGGTACAAGAGAATATTATCATAGGTCAGCGAGGCAACTGTAAGTGTCAACAGAAGATTAAGACAACTTTCCAGGCTAAACACCCTTGTGATTGTACATGAAAATATTATCATAGGTCATCCATGTAACTGTAAGTGTTAACACGTGATTGAGATAAACGTCCTCCGATTAAACACACTTGTTTTTGTACAGGAGAATATCATTATAGGTCATCCGTGTAACTGTAAGTGTTAACACGAGATTGAGATAAACGTCCAGATAAAACACACTTGTGTTTGTACAGGAGAATATCATTATAGGTCATCCATGTAACTGTAAGTGTTAACACGAGATTGAGATAAACGTCCAGATAAAACACACTTGTGTTTGTACAGGAGAATATTATTATAGGTCATCCATGTAACTGTAAGTGTTAACACGTGATTGAGATAAACGTCCTCAGACTAAACACTCTTGTGTTTGTACAGGAGAATATCATTATAGGTCATCCGTGTAACTGTAAGTGTTAACACGTGATTGAGATAAACGTCCTCAGACTAAACACACTTGTGTTTGTACAGGAGAATATCATTATAGGTCATCCGTGTAACTGTAAGTGGTAACACGTGATTGAGATAACGTCCTCAGGCTAAACACACGTGTTTGTACAGGAGAATATAATTATAGGTCATCCATGTAGAAAGTATGGATATGAGCAAGCATATTGTATTGTGTACAGATCATGTTATTGTCAAGGGCTATATCTTGATATGGGGGCAGGTTGTAAGCAATCACAGATACTAAAGGGACAAACTGGAAACACTAGATATACAACTTCTTTAAGATATGTAACATAAGAATAACAGTGCTTCAGTGGAACATGTGAATAAATGTAATGTCAGAATGAAAACACAAAGTGTAAGCCCATTGTGGTATGTAATATTTAATTAAGGTGTCAATACTACGATGACATAACGCATCTTGTTTCTGTTCTAGATAGTTCCGGCAGACCAAGACTGACCACCACTACCATGAGTAATCAGAACAACGACCGCAACCCTCCTCATCCCAGTCCCCAGAATATCCACGTTAATACAAACAGAGAAGGAACCATAGAGACGGCTAACACTGCAGGGATTGCTCATGGTGGAGTTGGCAACACGTATAACACGTATAACACGTTCAACGTGCAAGGTGCATAAATGCTATCAATGGTCCCCATGGATAAACGATTCCTTTGTTGAAGGGGTTGTATGGTGTAATGCCTCAGTGACGAAAATGATGTCCGCAGCAGTTCACTATTTTGACTTGTATCATATCTTCCCGAATAATTTCAGGTAAACAATTGACTAGACTTAGCACATGTTTATAACGGGTGCGACCGGTGGGGCAGGATACGCCCACCTTTCGTGAACACCTGGTATCATCACTATTTCATAGTGATTCATAAACGCTTGATTTGTCATTGCATCGCATGGTGATAATCACTGGGTTATCTGGTTCAGATTCAATTTGCTTACAAACAACATAGAACAGCTGTAATACTTCTGTAGCAAATTATACCGACGATATTTGACAATCGCAGGTCCATGTTAAAGTATGGGGCTTACTATCACCTTAGCGCTATGACAATCGTAGGTCAATGTTAAAGTATGGGGCTTACTATCACCTTAGCGCTATGACAATCGCAGGTCCATGTTAAAGTATAGGGCTTACTATCACCTTAGCGCTATGACAATCGCAGGTCCATGTTAAAGTATGGGGCTTACTATCACCTTAGCGCTATGACAATCGCTGGTCCATGTTAAAGTATAGGACTTACTATCACCTTAGCGCTATGACAATCGCAGGTCCATGTTAAAGTATGGGGCTTACTATCACCTTAGCGCTATGGCAATCCCTGGTCCATGTTAAAGTATGGGGCTTACTATCATCTTAGCGCTATGACAATCCCTGGTCCATGTTAAAGTATGGGTCTTACTATCACCTTAGCGCTATGACAATCCCTGGTCCATGATAAAGTATGGGGCTTACTATCACCTTAGCGCTATGACAATCCCTGGTCCATGTTAAAGTATGGGGCTTACTATCACCTTAGCGCTATGACAATCGCAGGTCCATGTTAAAGTATGGGGCTTACTATCACCTTAGCGCTATGACAATCGCAGGTCCATGTTAAAGTATGGGGCTTACTATCACCTTAGCGCTATGACAATCCCTGGTCCATGTTAAGGTATAGGACTTACTATCACCTTAGCGCTATGACAATCGCTGGTCCATGGTACAGTATGGGACTTACTATCACCTTAGCGCTATGACAATCGCAGGTCCATGTTAAAGTATGGGGCTTACTATCACCTTAGCGCTATGACAATCGCAGGTCCATGTTAAAGTATGGGGTTACTATCACCTTAGCGCTATGACAATCGCAGGTCCATGTTAAAGTATAGGGCTTACTATCACCTTAGCGCTATGACAATCGCAGATCCATGTTAAAGTATGGGGCTTACTATCACCTTAGCGCTGTGACAATCGCAGGTCCATGTTAAAGTATGGGACTTACTATCACCTTAGCGCTATGACAATCGCAGATCCATGTTAAAGTATGGGGCTTACTATCACCTTAGCGCTATGACAATCGCAGGTCCATGTTAAAGTACGGGACTTACTATCACCTTAGCGCTATGACAATCGTAGGTCAATGTTAAAGTATGGGGCTTACTATCACCTTGGCGCTATGACAATCGCAGGTCCATGTTAAAGTATGGGGCTTACTATCACCTTCGCGCTGTGACAATCGCAGATCCATGTTCAAGTATGGGGCTTACTATCACCTTAGCGCTGTGACAATCGCAGATCCTTGTTAAAGTATGGGGCTTACTATCGCCTTAGCGCTAAGCTTGCTTTGTACAACAGCCCCCTTGTTTCTCTACTGTTGCAAATCGGCAAATGAGAAAAAAAGTAGACTATATAGTAGACTATATAAAGTCTTTGTCACAAAATGATTACATCACCACCATCATATTCCATTATAAGATCATAATGCCTGTGTTAAAATTAAATATATCCCTGTATATTTGCCAAGGAGTGTATTTATTGAAAGCTGTCAGGGGGTAGGTGGAACAGATAACGGCCATTCTCTGCTAGAATTTAGATTACATAAAGTCCAATATTCTAAACATCATATTCTCTCCTCCAGTGGCTGGTGACTTGAAGACAAGACCAGCCTATCAACAAGCCGGGCATGAAGCTAAACAACATGGAGGTAGAACTGGAGACTGTGTGAACATTGTGTCTGCTCCAGTGGCTGGTGACTTGAAGACAGGGGCCTATCAACAAGCCGGGGATGAAGCTAAACAACATGGAGGTAAAACAGGAGACTGTCTGAACATTGTGTTTGCTACAGTATAGTATATATGTTGGTGATGAAATCAGTATTAATATACAGGTTGCAGTGTTCCATCTTTACTATCTTTGAGCGCATCCTTCAAGATTAGACAAACTGACTCAGGCTGGTATACATACTTATATCTGATTGTTATAGCAGCAGATCCCATGAATGTACTGTGTAGGTCTGCTTGTTAAAACCACATGAATGTATTGTATCGTATATGTTATGTTTAGTAGTAGACCTATACATAACCAGTAGTATAATATACCAACTGAATGTATTGTATTGAATATGTTATGTTTAGTGGTAGACCTATACATAACCAGTAGTATAATATACCAACTGAATGTATTGTATTGAATATGTTATGTTTAGTGGTAGACCTATACATAACCAGTAGTAGTATATACCAACTGAATGTATTGTATGGAATATGTTATGTTTAGTGGTAGACCTGTACATAACCAGTAGTATTATAAACCAACTGGATGTATTGTATGGAATATGTTATGTTTAGTGGTAGACCTGTACATAACCAGTAGTATTATAAACCAACTGGATGTATTGTATGGAATATGTTATGTTTAGTAGTAGACCTGTACATAACCAGCAGTATAATAAACCAACTGGATATATTGTATGGAATATGTTATGTTTAGTAGTAGACCTGTATATAACCAGCAGTATAATAAACCAACTGGATATATTGTATCGTATATGTTATGTTTAGTGGTAGACCTGTACATAACCAGTAGTATTATAAACCAACTGGATGTATTGTATGGAATATGTTATGTTTAGTAGTAGACCTGTACATAACCAGCAGTATAATAAACCAACTGGATATATTGTATGGAATATGTTATGTTTAGTAGTAGACCTGTATATAACCAGCAGTATAATAAACCAACTGGATATATTGTATCGTATATGTTATGTTTAGTGGTAGACCTGTACATAACCAGTAGTAGTATAAACCAACTGGATGTATTGTATGGAATATGTTATGTTTAGTAGTAGACCTGTACATAACCAGCAGTATAATAAACCAACTGGATATATTGTATGGAATATGTTATGTTTAGTAGTAGACATGTATATAACCAGCAGTATAATAAACCAACTGGATGTATTGTATCGTATATGTTATGTTTAGTAGCAGACCTGTACATAACCAGTAGTAGTATAAACCAACTGGATATATTGTATGTAGATCTGATACTAAACCATCAACTGAATGTAATGTATAGAGCTAGTACTTCAACATGACAGAATATAAAGATCGAGTACAACAAAAACCTGAATGTAATGTATAGAGCTAGTACTTCAACATGACAGAATATAAAGATCGAGTACAACAAAAACCTGGATATAATGTATAGAGCTAGTACTTCAATATGACAGAATATAAAGATCGAGTACAACAAAAACCTGGATATAATGTATTGAGCTAGTACTTCAACATGACAGAATATAAAGATCGAGTACAACAAAAACCTAGATATAATGTATAGAGCTAGTACTTCAACATGACAGAATATAAAGATCGGGTACAACAAAAACCTGGATATAATGTATAGAGCTAGTACTTCAACATGACAGAATATAAAGATCGAGTACAACAAAAACCTGGATATCATGTATAGAGCTAGTACTTCAACATGACAGAATATAAAGATCGAGAACAACAAAAACCTGGATATCATGTATAGAGCTAGTACTTCAACATGACAGAATATAAAGATCGAGTACAACAAAAACCTGGATATCATGTATAGAGATAGTACTTCAACATGACAGAATATAAAGATCGAGAACAACAAAAACCTGGATATCATGTATAGAGCTAGTACTTCAACATGACAGAATATAAAGATCGAGTACAAAAAGAACAACTGGATATCATGTATAGGTCTTGTCAAGGAGGTGAGAGCATTAGGCAGGACTGTGGTACTGGAATGTCACGCCAGTGTCAACACTTGTATGACAAATCAGGATAAGTTATTGTTCCACATCAAGGAGGTGAGAGCAGTAGGCAGGACTGTGGTACTGGAATGTCACGCCAGTGACAACACTTGTATCACAGATCAGGATAAGTTATTGTCCCACGTGAAGGAGGTGAGAGCAGTAGGCAGGACTATGGTACTGGAATGTCACGCCAGTGTCAACACTTGTATCACAGATCAGGATAAGTTATTGTTCCACATCAAGGAGGTGAGAGCAGTAGGCAGGACTGTGGTACTGGAATGTCACGCCAGTGTCAACACTTGTATCACAGATCAGGATAAGTTATTGTTCCACGTCAAGGAGGTGAGAGCAGTAGGCAGGACTGTGGTACTGGAATGTCACGCCAGTGTCAACACTTGTATTACAGATCAGGATAAGTTATTGTTCCACGTCAAGGAGGTGAGAGCAGTAGGCAGGACTGTGGTACTGGAATGTCACGCCAGTGTCAACACTTGTACCACTTGTATTGCAGTGACAGTGACATCACGTGGACTATGTACAAGCATTTCCTGTAAGATAGACAATGACATCACGTGTACAATGTACAAGTACTTGTTGCATTGATAGACAATGACATCACGTGTACAATGTACAAGTACTTGTTGCATAGATACACAATGACATCACGTGTACAATGTACAAGTATTTCCTGTATTGTATTGATAGACAGGGACATCATCAGTACTTGCTATATAGATAGACAATGATATCACATGTACAATGTATAAGCATTTCCTATATTATATTGATATACAGTGATATCACATGTACAATGTACAAGTTCTTGCTGAACAGACCGTGACATCACGTGTACAATGTACAGTTACTAACTGTATAGATAGACAATGACATCACGTGTACAATGTACAAGTATTTCCTGTATTGTATTGATAGACAGTGACATCACGTGTACAATGTACAAGTTTCTGTTTACAGTGACACAGAAAGACTCCAACCCCCGCCATGTCGCCGCCTTCCTTGCTGCCTGCCGTGATAGGAACATGGCCGAGGTGAAGCGTGTCCTGGATCTGGGTCAGGTTGACATCAACTGTAGAGGAGGGAGGAGCCGGACACCGGTGATGGAGGCAGCACTTGGGGGATACAGAGATGTGGTGGAGCTCCTGCTGACTAGAGGAGCGGATGTGTCACTGGTGGACGATGACGGTAACAACACCCTCCTCTTGGCCTGTGTGAAAGGAGACGTAGAGACGGTGAAGGTCATACTACCCCAGAACGGGGTGGACGTCAACTGTACAGGAGGATGGAAGAGCTGGACACCGGTGATGGATGCAGCATGGGGGGGACACAGAGATGTGGTGAAGCTGCTAATGAAGCGTGGAGCTGATGTGACACTGGTGGACGAGGACGGTTACAACACCCTACACTGGGCCTGTTATAGCGGAGACGTGGGGACGGTGAAGTTGGTACTGTCCCGGGGCTTGGTGGACATCAGCGCCAGGAACAACTGCGGGAAGACAGCGGCCGACGTGGCGAGAGACGAGGGACATCATCAACTGGTGGATCTCCTGGTGTCACGTGGTGCTCAGTGAAGTGGTTCTGGTTTTGGTACAGACAGTAATGGTGAAGGTGCTGTTACTGACACTGACGTGGTGTATGCCGTTCACGTCGTCGTATTTACATTGTGGGATCAAGGTTAGAATTATTGTTGTGTTTGAGGAGAAATAAAACTTGTTGAAAACATTTTCAGATATTTTGTCATTTGTTTTCATGTGGATGTTTTCATGATCAGGTAAGAAGATTGTTGACAGGGTGCAATATTTTATATACAACATGAAAGTTGACATAGTGGCGGACATTGATATGTGATTTATGTGACAAACTGAGTCACAGATGTGTGAAAAACAGACAACAAATTGTTTATTTACATCTCGATCCACTCTGAGGCCATTATCGCCCAGCTGACGGGGCGCCAAATGTACAGTGACGGTGACGTCACAATGCCTATGACGTCATGGCTGTTACCCAGCTGTCAGACAGGGATACGGGAGTTGGGTTTCAGTTTGTTACAATGAACGTATTTCTCCCGAGATTGTATTGATTACGCAGTTAACCCCCCTGGATGCCACAGGGACATAAAAGTCCTTCCCCCTTCAACCCTCAATTTCAAGTCCAATAAAAATCAAAATATCCCACGCACACAAATACACTTCATAGTTTCGAATTCTGCGGGAAATTTCCTGTTTCTTGATAACACCCACTAGTATTTTAGACAAAGCTCAAGTGCTGAAAATGACCTTTCAAAATTGGCTTCATCGAAAATGTCGCCATTTTTGACACAGTACGAAATCGCAATTCACAGCGTCATTTGCTGTATATTTTAAAATGTGAAAATCGGATAATTACTGGGAGTATTGAATTTCAAAAATAACATATTTATGATCACTGATATCAGTTTTACATGAAATCGATAATTATAAGTCTGAAACGTTGCCGATGAATCTAGAATCGGTTGGGATGTTTTCGAAAATGCACTTACACGAACACCGTAGAGTGCTTTCCGCCATATTGGACAGTGTTTACAAAATCACGTTTCGCGAAGGCCGGTATTGAGATGCCTATTACATCACGTATATTTCATATTCAGCTTAGAAAATGCATCACTGAATTCCCCATACATTTTAGAATCAAATTGCAACTGGTCTGTGTCACCAATAATAACTGTTTAGATAAAATGAGACGAAACATATTGGGTGTGAAAACGAACGCTGTGCTTGAAAGACTGTGTTAGTCTGAAATGTCAACAAAGACAAATTCCGATTTTACACTGCGTAGCATTTTCTGAAATTTTTCAACATTCATCCGTCTATTCATTGGCTTGCAATGGCTCAGTACCTTTGGAATATGCATGGAAAGAGTATCGTAGTAAAAAATAGGAAATTATAAATAGATACAATGCAATGATTTGATAATTCATAAGAAATTGTCAAAGTTTCCGTGCAGCGTGACGCCATGACTGACGCCAAATCACGCAGAACGACAACGGTAATTATCTGCATTTCTGGCCTTTTCTCTTACTTATAGTGAAAACGATAAAAACATATAACAATACACAGATAGTCAGAATCATTCTGATTACTTACATCTCATATTTATGTACAAACGATCCCTGAAACAATGGAAGGGTCCTCGCAAAGAAATCGGTCAGCGGTAGTGATGTCATACGTCAACATTGTTCTACATATTAGGCAATTTCTTTGAGGTGAAGGTCGGTTGAACAAGAGTAAACACAATCGCCATATCCTTCCGATTACGCTGTCAGTATTATGGTGTATATTTTGCGTATTAGTTCAGATACTTTTTCATGAAACTGACTTCAGTATCTACGTTTAGCCTTGTTCAATATCATATCATACGTGCATATAGGGTTTACAGTGTTTTATTCTTAGAAAGTTTTTGATTGTTTGAATCATATTTACATAAGAAATTGACATATTTCGTGCAATACACCATATTCTAACAAAAACACAAGTGTTATAGAAGATCAAACGTAGCAATAGCTGCAACTACTTTAGTTCCTATTCAATTTTAATTTTTGTTGACTAATATTGCAATTTCATATGAACAGGTTAATGAAAGTTGATTTAATTCAACCTTAGATGTAAAACTGATAATATTAATGACAATGATTTAGATATGGTATGAAATGTATATGCACACATATTTAAAGGAATTGTCTTGTTCATTGCATAATTTTGTGTCGTTTTATACACAAAAGAATGATGCATATTGATCGGCCAGGTGCCCGTTTGTTGGAAACGTTTTATGATTCTCTATCATTGTTTTCGATAATATATTCAATTCATATTCCATTAAATGATATTGTGATGACAGGATATCAAACTCTAACTACATTTATAGGAAAATTGTTGAAAAATATATATACCATCTCATTAGTTAATTCGGACAAATCTTACATACATATTCTAATATATAGTTCCATATATAAAAAGCTATCTTTTTGCATCTTTCATTGCATACGTATTAAGAGAAATAGCGAGATAATCATAAACAAACACAATTCTTATCCCAAACAAAATATTCGGGTGTTGTGAAATATTATTTTTATTTACGTTAAATTGATGCCAAACAGGTGCGCGTGTTGTCCACAATAAGATACGCTGTCAAACTGTCTAATTGTTGATATATTCAGGACACTATTTAAATGGAAAAATCAGTCATTTTATGTTTTGTCTAAAGAGTGTTAAATTCTGACGTAGAAGCAGAGACCTTTTATACAATTAATGGAAATTAGGTGAGATATATACTAATCAGCATACCAATGTCGTCGTTTTCCGACGTCGCAAAATGCATAAAACAAGCAATGACGTCAACTAAAATGTTGTAGTATTTTCAGCATTTTCATTACATTTGAAAATATGGCTAGTATTCCGGTAATAACGATGCAAAATTAATCAAATTACATCTACACAAACAGGAGAATATGGGAATCTAAGAACTAACTTATATATCGGATAGGGCCATCCAAATCGCTATTCTGCTTTCACATGTAATACGTTGTCATTTTTCTTGTAAATTGTTAAACTACCAAACTGCATCCGCTCACATTGGGGAACTTTGAATTGGAATAGTTTTGTTCACCATGAACATAACATAACCAAAATATAGCGTCCGTATCCACAACAAATCCTCTCCAAGTGGTCTGGGTTACATTGACCTAGTGTTAGGCCTAACGGAGTTATGCCCCCTTATCATTGTACGTGTATGACCTCTCTGTCGTCGCTCGACGTCATAGAAGAAAATCCATTTTTGACATTTATTGCGAGTGGTTTTTAATGCTGAGCGTATAACGTTATGCACAAGCACATACACCCAATTCATATACACTTATGTCGTTCAGATATCAGGCTGTATTTTCTTCGCTCACACTTTCCGTAAAGATGCCACATTAAAAAATTCGTAGCACAGTGCTTTTATCGGTGCGCGATAAAAAGCGGAGAAATTTACTGTTTTTTAACGCATAACAAATTTTGGACAACATTTATTAGTGTCTATTTCTCAAACCGTCGAGGTAGTTGCACTTATATTTATACCAACGGATAGGAAATTTAATATTCTACATATCTGTGTAATTTTATAGCCGTACGTAGATCCAGGACCAGGCGAGCGCAATTCTCGCACAATGTTCACTTTTCAAACCGTATGAAAATGTGCGCCTGAAAAAAAACTCGGCATCAAGGCGGTTAATGATTCTGAATGCTATGAGTAACTGTCAATAGACCGATCCAGTCCCGGGCCCCGTTTCACATACAAAGCTCTCGTGCCTCCTATACTGTAACATATGACTGAATGGCTGACTGAGTTTGGTTTTACGCCGCTTTTAGCAATATTCCAGCAACATCACGGCGGCGGACACCAGAAATGGGCTTCACACATTGTACCCATGTGGGGATTCGAACCCGGGTCTTCAGCTTGACGAGCCAATGCTTTAACCATTAGGCTACCCCACCGCCCCCTGTAACATATGAGGTACTAATGCTACGAGAAAAGTTACGAGATCTTAGGCTTACGAGAGCGTTGTGAAACGGGACCCGGGCCGATAAGCCCCGCCCACTTCGTTTTTGACGTTAGGGGCGACAACCATTGACTAATCACAATGGCGTCACCGCCGGCGAAACATGCGTGACTTCGAACGTTGTTGATGAATTCTGCTTGTGGTACTTTGGTATCCACCGTTTGTGAATGATATTTAAAGCGGAAAGTTATAAGTATGTGATTTTTTTATATATTTTAATTAGCAGATTGCAATTGACGAGTGAAAATGAGTTACATCCCGATGAAAAATCGTCTCGGCCAGCTGCTGAGAGCAGGAAGCGTATTTTCTTTCGAATCAATTAATCTATCTGGCTATGCACCTCCGTCAAAGATATTAGCAGGGGAAGGGTAAATGAATTTTGCTGTTTGGTGTTGTTGTTTTTTAAAATTCCCATCATAATTTTATAAAAACCGAGAACACAACCACATGTTTATGTTGCAGATCGTCTCGGTATATACAAATAGATTGTCAACAGTGCGCGTCGCGCCTTTACGTATTTATCTTTTAATGAATTAAAAGAATGGTAAATAAAAACAACCCCAGAAAATATTTCCCGTCTACTACTTATATTACTTATATTATACTACATATTAATGTAAACAAATCAATCACAGCATAACTTATTTGATCTTATTTGGAAATCTGGAACTTGTGATTGGGCTTGTAAACAGTATGTTTCCATGGATGTATCTGGACCACAGCAGTTGATCTGAAGCAATTCTCAGTAAAGTTTCCCTCTCCAAAATGTGTACACCCACCTAAAATGACACTGAATATGAGGAAAAAAATCCATTTTTTAATCTTCCTTTCCAGTATATTTTTCTATATGTACTTTGTTGTTGAATCCTAATTTACATACAAATTTCCACAATACTGGACTTCATAAACTGCCAGCGTTTATGTACAGGTATGTCACAGCACCAGAACACAAAGAAGATTCAGTCTGCACCTGTACACTGACGTACCCACTAATTGGGATCTATTTGATTTTCTGAGATACTTACTACTGTCATAAACATTATAGTAAAGTTGATTCAAAATTTGGTGAAAGTGAAAACAAACCTTAGGAAAACACACAGGATATTGTCTTGAAGCGCTCACCTCCTACAAACCAGTGTGCAATTTA